TGGCTCCGGATATCCGGACTTCAAATATCCGACCAAAAATCAGGATATCCGCCGGATATCCGGATCTAGGTCCGGATCCGAAAATTATAAAAAAAATAATTTAAATAATTTAAAAATATTAAAAAAAACAGTTTTTAAAATTTATTAATTAAAATTTGCATGATATTTTTAGAAGTAAATATTATATCTATTATAAAAAGGACTAAAGTTAAATTTTATATATATTTAAGATAAAAATAACTTAATATATGTTTTTGATATATTTAATGCGTCCGGATCCGGATCCGGATATCCGGACTTTAAAATTTTACTATCCGGATCCTCTTATCACGGATCCTAGATTTTACTATCCTTATCCGGATCTGGACTCCCCGCATATCCTAATTTTTGGAGCGGATCCGAACGGATACTGGATCGGATCTCGGATCCCTGATAATAATTCCACCCCTATATACCTCTACATAAACTGTAGCCTAGATACAGTATTGTCAATAACAAAACACACCAATCGAGAAAAAAGAATCAATTCTACCTTACGCCAAAGCTATGTGTTTCATGTATAATCAATGCATAAAGCTATAATCTGTTTTATGTAATTTATGTCAAATTTTTGAAGGAGGTCGGTGTTTGTATTAGTTAATTACAAAATAAATTAGTATCTGTTTGATCATAATATATTGAGATTGTAAGACAGTATAGTTTTCAATTTTTATATGAGATTCACACAACCTTAGAACGGAGATGTAAATAGATAATTCTCTGGACACTTTGGATGAATGTAAATGTCAAGAATATATTATCATAAAGTTTAATTGTTGATAAGAACTTCGAAAATTGAAATTAATCATTCTTTCTAGTAGAAGTTAAAGACCATGCAGAATTTCAGTAGATTTGGTGGGAAGTTGATTGAGTGCATATGTGCAAATTCCTATTGAGATCTTAACAGATTTACTAGCCATTTGTTACCTTTTGTCCCAATTTAAAAGTAAATCCAGTTTAATTTTCCATGCATATATATGTTAATGACAATATATGCAAAAGAGATATATTTTCTTAATGCTAAAAACATGAAAAAGAGATATTAAAAAGCAAAATATTCAATATTTTAAATACGAAAGTAATCGTGGAGTCATCTAAAAATATATGCCCGAAGTGGTTTTCCGAATTCACAACAATAATATTTCGAAAGATCTTTTTAATCATTGGGGTTATGGACTCAATTGATGATGTAAGAATTTGTGAAAAAACTATTACTTTTATAATTTTAGTGACATTTTTGAAAAGAACAGTGTCATTTATAAAATGTAACATTTTGAAAATTGCATTTTAAAATATTCTCTAAATTATTTCATATATAGGGTTTG